CAAAAAATTGGTGTTATATGCAAAGAAATCCGCTGGTAAAAATACCATTAAAAGGAACTCAAATCAAAACGTTGAAGGTGATGCTTTTTCATGCGATGTTAATATCAGATCAATCCTAAATAGAGTTCAACACGAAAATAAAGTATGTTTGCGGATTCTGGAGCGTTGGTACATATGATGCGAAATAAGAACCATTTTCTGACCTACGAAGCTTTCAGTAGTCCAAAAGAAGTTCGAATTGGTAAAGATAATGTAATTTTGGCACATGGACTAGTCAAAATTAATGTAGAAATGAAAGTTTGAGATAAGTAGTTTAAAAATCATTTGTGAGAGATTTATATTGAATATTACAGTTTTATACATTTTTATAAGTAACTGAATGACTATTACTAATAGATAATTAGTAATTTCCCTGTATAACTTTTAAATCAACTTAAATCCTATAGGTTAAATATTAGAAGTATTTGCAGAGCAAGTGTTATGAAAAGATACACCCTATTCAATCTTTTTGTGGAGATTTAACCAAATGTATGCCTAAACAAACATTAGAAAGTGCATGCAGCATTATTAGGATTAAATCTGTGTATAAAAAATCAAATCGGATGATAATGCATTGTATTTAGCAGAGAGGTAAGTTGTGAGAGATGGAAAAAAGGGGGAGCTGAACTGAATACGAACAACAGGTGCAAGCAGCCGCTTTACCTGCTACGGTTTTCTATTCGGGACAATAAGGGATCTAAAATACGAATTTACATATAATATAATAATATAAAGAAAAAAAAAACAATACATAAGGTAAGTAAACAAACATCAATATCAATTACAATTTCTGTGTGATAAGAATTTTATACAAAGTATTTTGCGACTCACTAATTAAACTTCTGTACCAGATGGATGATAAGTCTAGACTGGTTTTATTTCTGCCATTATTATGTTCCCAAATACTTGGTCGTTTATTATATATAGGGTATTTTCGTTTATTTTCAAAAATGTCAGTATTTTTACAATGGTTTCTCTAATTTGATAATTTGAATCGAATTTGGTATTTGGTATTCAAATTATGTATCGCAAAGAATAAAATTAATTGTAGCGTGGTTAAAAAAATTTTTTTGCGACTGAATATAAAAATTGATAATATTATGAATATTGCTAATTTAAAAACTACAATAATAACGTAAACAAATGAAGCACTTAGTTTTTAGGCACATTTTTAATAATTCTAGTTTAAATTCATATTATTATTGTTACAGATTACAAATTATAGATGGCAGCTGGGCTAGAAATAACATACAAAAAGATTTGCAGAGCACTTACAAAATACTTTCTAGCCAAATGAAGGAGAAGAATTACCAAACTGGGATCTTCCACAGAGAGAGATGACTCAATCATCAGACCAACCTCTCCAAAAGAAATTACAAAAGATATAGAAACAAATATTGACCTAGGGAAGCTCTCCTGGCTTTGATTTAATTACAGGAGAAATTTTAAAACTTCCAAAGAAAGCTATAAATAAACTAACACACCTCTTCAAACTAAGATATGTCAACAAAACTAAGAGTAGGTCAGAAGTTATTGTACAAAAAACGCATATAAAAATCAGTGGTGTGCCTAGGGCTGTGCTTGAGCCGCCCCTGCAAAAACTACCTCTTCTATTTATATTTTTGTATTTAAGGAGGAGGACATGTTGAACATTTACTAAATTAAATAGTTTATAAAATATGTATAATCATTATTGTCAAGTGTTTATTTTTAATTGTTAATTTTTTGTTAATTTTTTAATTAAAAAAATAATTTTTTAATTACTATTAAATTTAATAAATACATTTCCAAACTATTTTGTAATCTATCTGTGGAAGAATTTATGGCATACCCTTTTGAAACACCCTGTATATGTAAAAGATATAAATAAGTAGACATTTACCCAATCATAATTATGTTACTAACTAATACATATATCTACCTAGAATCTTAGCTTTACAGTAGAAAACGAATCATCAGCTTTTGACCAAATTTATATTCCATCATCCCTGATGTACTCCCTTTCTAACAAAAAAAAGAATCTTACGATGTGGTAAAGAATTATACATCCAAAAAAAATTTCTACGAATTGAGAACCTCCACCTTTTTTTGAAGTCAGTTAAAAAGAAAGAAACTAACAAAACAAAAAATATAAATAAAATTTAATAAAAAAATTAATAGGGTTCTCAGAAGACATTATCAAAGAAAATCAAAAGATTTCCAGATTCTAATTATATAATTACAGTAATGTATACTGCATTATTTTTTTATTTAACACTGGCAGATAACACGTTGATTATATGAGTTATTGCATCACCAAGAAAAAAGAGTACCTAGTAGCCTTGAGAGACTTGGCTATTTTCTTTTGTGCATCTAACACGGAATCATCTCTTAGAAATTATATAATCAACTTTGTACAAGTATTAAACAGTTAGTCATTAAATTTGTTTTTGAGTTTCCTTCATTAGCATTAAATTTTTTTTAATTTAATTATTTGCTGTAAAAGCAAATATACTTAATCAGTTTATCAGTCTAGTTGATAAAAAAAAATGATTAATAGACGTGATATTTACAGAACATCCCGTTTTCGAAAGAGCCACAGCCGAGGCGAGGTGTGTTACATAAAGGTTTTAATAGAAAAGGGCCTGTCTGTAGATCGTGGTCAACCACCTCAACCACAACGTTGCCATATTTGTCATCAAAACAAATCGTATTCTTGTTTTGAAATCTCAACAAATCATTTTTCCCCGCATCCACAGATTCTATAACACAGCCGTTAAAGTCTGAAACGTATTAATAAACATTTTCGAAGAACTGTTTGTTTGTTCGAAGTAATTTGAATTCTGTAAATCCGACAGCGATTTAAAAGTCACACTAGCTGATGAAATGCGCAACAAGTGGCAACATGGTCACACTCGCTTATACAGACACCTGCAGTGTGTATACTTGCGGGGGTGGGGAGCGGGCGATCGGCCAAACGAAACAGGCGCTCGACTCGGTTCAGTACCGTACTTTTACAATAATTCTTTCCTATTTTGGTAGCTAAGAATAAAGCAAAGCAGGATTGAACACAATAGTTTTTCAAGAAACTAAAAACTTTGTGCACGGAAATTTTTATTTTTGGAAATTTAAAATTCTGATAGAAAGTCTTGAAAAGTGATTTAAAGTCACTTAAAATTATTTGCATCACTATTGGGAACATAGTCAATTAGTGTTTAATTTATCTGTCATTACAAATTGTATACAGGGTGGGCCATTAGTGCGTGAGTGGAAGATTGCGGGTTTATTAAGGTACATTTTTAAAATTCATTTTTGGGGCATGATGTAGGACTTTTAAGGCTACAACCTAAAAATTGTTCTACAGGGTGATTTATATCAAAGTTGTTTTTTTAATAGGAACTCCCTGTATATTATTGCATATTTGGATTCCTCGGTCAATTTTAGTGTGACTTTATGTATCACACATGGTATCTAAAATGAGTCGTTAAGCAGCAATTCATTATTTTTTCAAAAAGTAGATGTCTAGTAAAAATTGAATATCGCAGTTATTATAAAACTTAGAAGGCCGTGAGTCTACAGTGTTACTAAGCATGAAATGTACTAACATTTGTGATACATCGAATTAAAAGCTAAATGTAACCTAGCAGTATAAAAAAATCTGTTAGGCCCATTTATTTTTCAGGTAACGTTTTTAACTAGCCCACAAAATAACGTCACACGATTTTTTTTCTACCATCGCACTACTCAAAACCTATAGTCATATATATAATACTTATACACAATCCAGAAAATAATTGATATATAAAAATTAATTCTTTTTTTAGTACTAGTGATCCTGGGTACGAATCTGTGCTCAACCCGTGCAACGTGCACTCGCGAGTAATGCCCCCTTCTCTTCTCTCTTCTCTCTTCCCGCTAACCATCACAAATCGTCAGAACACGACCAAGATATACACACTGTAATCTTCTCCAGAACTTGGTTGCCACGTTGGTGTTGTTTTCAAAGATTTTTATTTTCATAAGATGGATTGATTAAAAGACAATCATAGTGATTCGGATTGGACCAGCAAGACCGAGTCAAATATGCTTAGGTGAAAAGTGGAAATTAGTAGACAAAAAAAAATAATTACTAAAAAATTAAATAATTTTATCTCCGTTCAATCTTGTCTTAAGATTGAGTAACCTCCCATCATTTAAAATGTCGACGACGGAAAAAACCTGAATAACTCCGGACATTTTTGTGAAATTCAGTTTTTTTTCTCCGGACAGAAATTAAATACCTCTGAAATTTATTTAGCAATGTTTGGCAAAATCGATATAAAAAAATGGCGAAGGGGAATTTGGTGGTGGGGTATTTTAGCCACACGCGTAGGGTTACCAAATTCAAAAATAAAATTTCCTGACATTTCTAATAAAAATTCGGGACACATCTTTAAAATTCCGGAGAAAATAATAAAACTTGAACTCGTGAAATAATTACTAAACAGTTTATTAAAAAATAGTATCTATTGTCAAAAACTATAAAAACAACAACAGTTCTTCAGTTAAAAATTCGTAAAATTAAACATTAAGCATTATTGTATTTATAATACAAAGAGCGCCTATTAAATATTTATATAAAAAATTAATTATGAACAAAATAGAAAAAAAGTCTATTTCAACGACCAAAAAACTGTTTATAGAGGATTTTAAGTAAAACTTAATTCGTTTGATGATTTTCCTGAAAAGTCCCGATAATTTATAATTCTCTCGGAGCATGTCCGGAATTTTCCTGACATCTGGTAACCCTTCGCACGCGCCAATTTATTACTTATCATAGAATTAATCGAGTTTCCCTGTATCCCTTTGAAACAATAAGTGTACGGGTTTCACCTGGACACTTTTTTAAAACCCCGTCCTTATGCTCCCCAAACACACACCAAACTAGAACAAATCCGAGGCAGCCCTACTCACACCATTAATGATAATTTAAATTTACTTACTTTTGAATACATATTTGTAATTTCTTGTCTTGTTTTTGATGTCGTGGTAATGTCCATATCTATTGTTGCTGAGCATTCTGAGATATGTAGTTTGAAATGGTGAGTGTATTGTATTCCCTGCAAGAAAAGAATATAATCAATATTTATTAACGGAACTCAAAACAAGTGTTTGTAACGAAATGCATCCTAACCAAAACATAAAGCCAACAGACCATTTTGTATTTGTAGAAACTAAATTCTTTTGTATTAAAAAGAAACAATAAGAACCCCAGAGTTTTCGACAAAGATGTACCAATTTAAGTACTTGGTCATTTTGCTGGAGATCATACCTATTTGATTCCACAAGTAGCATAACTTAAAATTAAAATTTTTCCTCACAAAATGCAAATTCATCAATAGCTTAGTGAAGACGACTATGACAGCAGAATTTAATTTTGTGAAATAATGTCTCAAAAGATACAAGATGAGGTAAATTTAGTCAAAAACAATTGTTTCGGTAATTAATCAACATTTTATTTAAAAGGTTTTGTTAACAAAGACAACAAAACCTCACCTGTTTCGACAGAATATCATTCAATTTCCTGCGAAGATCAATAATATGGGCTGGTATTCTTGGAAATTAGATATTTGGACCATTATTTATAAAGGAAAATCTGATAGGAGCATCGTTCTTCCAATTATTAGAAGATGAAATTGATCCACTTATTACTCAGAATATATATTTTTCACAGAATGGAGTTACACCACATTATGCAATAGTCGTAAAACAATGGCTAAATAAACTATTTCCGAGACAATTGATTGGCAGAAGAGGTTTTATAGAGGGACCAGCAAGATCTCCAGGTATAAAGCCACTTGACTTTTTTCTGTAGTATAACTGAAGAATGTGAACGAATTACCAGAAAAACATTGCAGGAGTTCAAGAAGAATTTGAAAATAGGTTATATTATTGATAACTAGAGCTTGTATTATATGCAAAATGCATATAAAGTACATACCTGCATATTTAGTGCAGAATTTTATATTGTATATCTAAAATAATAATGCATATCTAAAAATAAAATATTGCTTATTTACCATTAATCTTTTATATTTGACGATAACGTTAGATCTATTTTTGCAGATTGTCTATACTAAAAAATTTCAAGTGTATCAACATTTAGCAACAAGTCACTTATCCAGAAAACAACTTCCAAACCGATTGATTCAACAGTTAATAACAGACCAAGGAACCACTTCTTATCATCAGGACAATTTTAATAGAGATTTGTGCAATTTATTTGTATCTTGTAATATTCCAATTCACAAATTGGATAATCCTCTGTTAAGAATTTTTTTTAAAACTTAACAGTTAATTTTGATAACGCATTGAATTCTATAACACATGAAATTAACGATAAACCTGTGTGGTTTTCGGTTGATGAATCAACTGATACGCAGGGGCGCTATATTGCAAATTTTATAATAGGCGCACTAGATGAAAATATCCCTAGTAAAGGATATTTAATGTCAGTTAAAGTTTTAAACAAAACAAATAATTTAACGATAACCAAATTTTTATTTACCTAGACAAGTGTCTACAAACAATATTTTATTAATGGTCACTGATGCTGCTGCATACATGGTAAAAGCAGCTGGAAACTTAAAAATATTTTATCCGAATTTAATCTATTGCACATACTTAGTACATGGTTTAAATAGGGTGGCTGAGACGGTTAGCAATGAATTTCCACTCGTAAATGATTTAATTAAAAATATTAAAAAGGTTTTTGTAAAAGCTCCTCTTCGGGTTCAATTTTATAAGGATCGTTTTCCAGGAATTCCATTGCCACCAGAACCAGCTTTAACACGATGGGGCACTTGATTAAACTGTGTTACTTCTATTGCGACAAATAACGAAATTAAATTTGCGACTTTGACCCAGAAGACTCAATTGCAATTAAAAAATACATCGATATTTTTAACGATCCTATAGTTTATAGCCATATTGTCCACATTCAAGCAAATTATACCTACATGCATAGCCACAGCCATAACTAAGCTTAAATCTCGAGGTATGGCAATATTTGAAAGCATACAAACAGTTAAAAATTTAAAATCTTTTATTGAACAGTCTGTGTTAATGGAAAATAATGTTACACGAACATTTACATCAGTTGTACTAAATAAGGATTTCAGAAATTAGAGGTCATAAATAATGTTTTATCTGGCAACTTTAATAATGAATTGGATTTAAATATTTCACCACTTTTAATTTCAAAATTTAAATATGCACCTATAACGTCTTGTGAAGTGGAACGTGTTCATTTTCGGCGTACAAACATATTTTAAGTGATAGAAGGCAATGTTTCACTAAAAATATTCAATAACTAAAAATTTAGTCTTGGTATAAAATTTGACGTAATATCAAAAGTTATTTAGACTGGTTTGTTTTGAAATTAAAAGTACCGTATTTTTTATTGTATAGCATTTGATTATTGTTTTAATAAAATCTTGTTATAGATAGTACCAGTTTTGGTACGTTCCGTAAGGACGTGGCAACGCGGCGCCAGATTTCAAGCTCTGTTGCTGGCTGTATCTGCGCATTTAATCGAAACTGGGTGTATTAGCGGCGCGGGGGCGAATGCAGGATGGCGTGATGTCAGTGACGTCACCGCAGCGTGTCGCGCGGGGGAGCGGGTATTACGGCCACGTGTTTCTTCAGTTCAGCCTGTACTACGCGACCCACAGATCAAGGACAGTTTTACGAGCTTCTTGCATGGTACTTGTTTTATTGTACATAGTGCAAGCGCGCGCTGTATATTTCTTCAGGCGTATTAGCTAAATTCAAGGCCATTGCAATTATACCTTCATTGCATTTAAACCAATTATTTATACGGAATAAAAGATTTATGAATTTTATTACGATTATTTTAAGAATTGATACTGTTTGTAGAAGGTTGGAGATGACAAGGTTACGGAAAAATTATCTTCCTGTACACCTAAGTACCTACAATACAACCGCAACTGCGCTAATATTAAATTTTACATAATCAACAGCCTGTTAGTAAAAATGCATAAACCTAGGTAATGTTTTTTAACAGTGGTGGCTCGTGGATAATAAATAATTTATAAAAATACTTTAATAATTTTTTTTATTATTGTAATAATAATATTAATAATAACATAATAATGAAGGTCCTTGTTTTCAAAATTTACAGATTAAAACCAATATTATAATAATAATAATAATAATACTCTCCCTAATTCACCCCCTTACGAGTGAATTTTAACCCCAAAAGCTGAGCTTGTCCGGGGAAAGGGACGGCTATTATTATTATTATTATTTTCCGTGGCGCTCCGGGGCGACTTAAAGATGATTGATGGTGTTATTTGACTTACAGGTGAGGAAAACCCCATCCACCATCATTATTACTCCACCATTATTAGTTTGCACCCCATTTATATTTCATCTATAATTTTGAAAAAACGAAGATTACGAGTATTTGTATACGTCTTCTGAAGAAGTACCTACCTATTAGCAAAAAAATAATATACTCGCAAGTTCATGGAAAAGTACAGGATGGAATAGTTATTTCAATCTAATAATAATTGTGCCTAGTTTTTATTATATCAGCGTTAGTATATACATAATGTCAAGTCACCGTTGATTGAATTAAATTAAATGGACATAAATAATTATAAATTGTAAAAGAGAGTGGAAATAAATATGCCTTGAAAGTTGTAGACATACTTATCTTTGCGTTTGTAGTTACCTATTGAACTCTTAAGTCTGGATGAGAACAGCTGAAAAGGATGTGTGAGCACGAGGTTTCGCGAGTGTGAAAATATATTTCCCTATTATTTATATGATTAGTTAAATGATATATAAATGGTTAATTTTTATTTTAAATGAGTAAAACCAAATTTGGTAGATTTTTACAAAACTTTTATTTAAAAAAATAAAAATTAAAAAATTAAAAACAATACACATGACATGTTTCGAAGTACAACTTCTTTTTCAAATGTGACTAATTTACAATTCGGTGTCCAATATATATGCCAAGTAATTTAACCAATCAAAGTAATTAAGAAAATACATCAATAACATAACAAAATAAACTTACTATATTTAAAGTAAATAAGGGTACTTAAGTAATTATGATATCAATCAGATAACAATAAGATAGTATCATTACCGGGATTACCTCACAGAAAACTAGGAAAGAGATTTAATAAAGGTAAGTTATTAATATCCAATTGATAATTTAGTAGGTTATCTGAATTTTTAAATCTATTTATTTCAAGTGTTTATAAATGGTTCAGTTTAATGCCCTTATTTTCTATATGTAAAATTTCAAAGTTGTCTGTAAAAGAATTATTTTCAGCCAAAATATGATATGACAATTCATCCCTTTGGTTTTAAAATGAAGGACTATATATGACACTTTATTCACAAATTAAAATCATTTTTATCCTGAATAAATTCATGAATTATTTTGTATTATAAACATGTTGTTTGTTATAACTTTTTAACCATAATACAATTTTGAAAATATTAATACAAATCGTATGACATATCTTTTGAAAATCACTTTGTATATTTATTATTTTTTTTAGTAACCAAAATTTGTGTTTGATTAATGTTTAAAAATCAAACTCCCATCGACAACTTTCAAATATCACAATAGTTGCTACATGTTTACAACAGACATATTTAGTAAAAATGATTGAAAATAATTAAAATTGGCAACACCTATGCCATATCCATTTAAGGTTTTAAAGTCATAGAAATTTCAATTCCAAATCCTTTGATCTTTCGCATGTGGGTAATCCGTTGTATTGGTAACATTTCCATGCCAGATTGTGAGGAATGTCGAGTAGTATAAGTGAATTTGAAATTTTTTTTGCGGTTTTTCTCTTACGACAGAAAATTTGGTCCTGACGGAAAATAGGTAGAAAACCACTGAAAACCACTTCGACTGAGAAAATTTCAATCTTCCCGGAGTAGCGCAATTAAAGACAGACAACAGCATTTTTATTATTATTTTTTATTTCATAAAATGTAAAATGAAGGCCACACCATTATGATGACTGAAAGATGTTTGTCTCGATGCACCAACAAAATAATTGTTCAA